CAACCGACACGTGGTGAGAACACCCTGGACCTCATACTCAGCGACTTCTCGGAGACCTCAGTGGTGGTAAATGTACTGGACCCCATTGCAGCATCAGACCATGCCACCGTTTTGGCCACTTTTGATGCCACCCCACTCCGCGAACCACCGACTAAACGGCGCGTTTGGAGGTATGCTCAGGCAGACTGGGACCGGCTTCGGCACTTCTACTCAACAGCAAACTGGGATATATCAGAAGACCCCGAGGCGTCCTGCAGATCAGTAACCGCTGCTGTCATGGAAGGCATGAATCGCTTCATCCCACACAAAGAACTTTCGACGAAATCAACAGATCCATCCTGGTGGACGCCGGAATGCTCAGCCGCTACCAAGGCAAAGAAGAATGCATGGAACCGTCTCAGGAGACACCCCACCTGCCACCAGCAACTCATTGACTACAATGCCAAAGTCCGAACCTCTGCCAATTGCCTTCGTCTCGCAAAGCAGGCAGAATCTGCCCGCATCCGAGATCGGCTCAAATATGGATCACTGCGAAACAAGCAATGGTGGTCACTCCTGAAGCAAGCTGCAGGCTCTGGCCGCAGCTCGTCTATCCCTGTCCTACGCAATACCCAGGGCAGAGAATATGTCACCAACCAGGAAAAGGCTACTTGCTTTGGAGAATTCTTTGCGAGCAAATGCAGTCGGTGTGATCAAGATCTACAGCACTCCGACCTTCCTGACCTTCGTCCTAGGTGTACATCTGCCCTGACAACTGTCCGATTTCGGGAAGTGACAGTCCAGCGCCAGCTCCGCCAGCTGGATCCAACCAAGGCTACCCGATTGAATTTCTGCCAGATTTCTGAAGCAGTGCTCAAAGGTTTTGGCCGCACCAATTGCCAAGCTGTTCTCACTCTGTTTTCGGTGCCATGTCCAGCCCTCGCTCTGGAAAGTAGCCCGTGTGGTCCCGATACACAAGAATCAATCTCATTCTGCTGTTAAGAACTACCGACCTGTATCCTTGTTATCTGTTGTCTCCAAAGTCATGGAGAAGATTGTCAACACTGCCATAATCAATCATCTTGAGCATGAAAAGGCCCTGTCCATCCACCAGTACGGATTCCGGCAGGGGCTCAGCACATCTGACCTTCTCACGTCTCTCAACCACTCCTGGGTCTCAGAAGCCAACCGTGGTCGCGCAGTCCGCGTGCTGGCTATAGACATAGCAGGAGCATTCGACAAAGTTTCACACCGAGGCGTGCTCCACAAGGCTGCGTCATACGGCATCACTGGTCCCCTCCTCAACTGGCTGTCTGACTACCTGTATGACAGTAAGTTGCAGGCAGTAGTCGGCAGAGCATCTTCAGAACCATACAAGATTGATGCTGGGGTCCCACAAGGGAGCATCCTTGGGCCCACACTGTTTTTGCTGTACGTGAATGACGCCTGCGACGTCCTACCGGAAGGGATCACTCCGGCTGTTTACGCAGATGACACCACGCTTTATGCCCACACCCCAATGCCACATGCTGTGACAGAAGTGTGCCGCAACCTCCAAGCTGGTGTGGATGCACTTGCTGAATGGGGTGCTCAGTGGCGCGTCACTTTTGAGCCAACGAAATCACAGGCCATGACTGTGTCCCGCCACCACAGACCCTGGGAGAGAACACCCATCAAGCTCAACGGCACAGCGTTCCCGGAATGCTCGCGGCTGAAACTCCTTGGAGTGACGTTTGATGCCCATCTTCCATACTCGGAGCATCTTCGAGGAACTGCAGTGCGTGCCACACAGCGAATTAGTTTCTTCCAGAAGGCGTGCCATGTCCTGGACCCACCCGGCAGGGCCACAGCATACCGGGGGTTCATTCGGCCTCTAATGGAGTACTGCCCACTTGTATGGATGGGAGCTGCGGCTACCCATCTCTCACAGCTGGACCGAGTCCAGCATCGTGCCCTCACCCTGATTGGGACAGGGGCTGCAATGGACACTCTGTCCCTGCGGCGACGTGTGCCGCCAGCCTCACAACTCTGTACAAGCTCCATTATATCGCAAGCCCACCAGCTCTTGCAGCGACACGCCCAGCCAGAGCCATCGCACCCGCCATCGCGCCTGCCACACGTCGTCGCCCGGCAGCCAACCTTGCGCACGAGCTTCAACTCCAGACGGCCCTACCTGCCAGATCGTGCAATGTTGCGCTGCGCTCTTTCCCGGAGTGCCTCATCGAAGCCTGGAATGAACTGCCAGCCACTCTCCTCCGCGATGCACCGTCTGCCAAAGGGATGCAGCAGTTCAAGGTTCTGACCTACCGCTACCTGAAACGGTCGGGTTGGTCATTGGCCACGGACATCGCCCCCTAGGCTACTGCCAGTACGACCCTGTTCATGTTCTCGGAGCACTCCCTTCTCATCCAACTCCCAATCCATTCGTCTTTATCTCTCTCTGACTCTCCTCCATTCTCACTCGAATCATTCGTCAAATCTGCACGGCAATCAGCCTCTACCTTCGCCTCAGCATCATGATCTTGATACTGCTATATTTGTACTTGTTTGCATACTTGTTTCCACTCATATCTTGGAATAACAAGTTTCCTGGTTTCCTCCCCTCGCTCCTCTCTTTCCTACCCTTAGAGTTCTTGCTCTCCTGCTCCCTCCCCGCCCTTCCACTCCCCATTTTGTTTCCTTTGGTGCACATGTGCAGCTGTGATGCCGAGACCCTGGGTTGGCTGAGCTTCACAGGTCCCACCCAATCCGTCCTGCTGGATATGTACCATTGTGTCGAGTTCTTCTCCTCATTTTAGTTCATCATGCAGCGAGTGTTCAATAGTAAAAAAATAAAAAAATAAAAAAATATAGGAGCTTATCACTCCCTTAGACTCACATAGATATTTGCCATACCTAAGCAGTCAAATATTCCTGCATATTTCACTCATTAGTTAACCCTTTGAAGCCCAGCTGGGTTTTCTGATTTCCCAGGCACTCGCACCGCGCTGCACCCAACCACGGATGGTCGACTTCAAAATTTCATAATTCACTCACCAGCAATGGAATTTCATGATCTGGAGTTCCCTGAAAAGCTTGTGATTTCCTCCATCCAAAGATAAAGACTAGACACTAAGCAGAAGCAATAGAAGCGCCTCCAAGTCCCTTGAGTGCAGCTCTATCGCGCCTGAACGAGATACACCACCCACAGTGACAATTTCCTTCGGTTCATGACTTTTACTCAACACAAAACAACGATTCAAAGTTCTCCGTGCTGCTGAAGCTCAAGCGGTCATCTTGGTACCCATCGCGCATGGGCTGCACTGGTATGAGTCATGGGGAAACTCCATGCGCACGCGAGCTCTACTCGAAAATTTCAAAATTCTAAAGTTTAGAAGTATTCAACCGTGTTCCGGTCTTTGCCGCTCGGGTATTTCGCATCGCGCTGCCACAAGTGACACACCGCTGGAAAGGTATTTTCCTTACCTTTCCAACAAGCTATTGTTTGTGAGAATCAAAGAAAGGACAACGGAGATACGAATCTTTGTACAGTGATCTATGTTCAATGCGTACACAGTGAGCGTTTTGGACGAGTATACTCGTCCTTGGGAAATCACTAGGGACGAGTATACTCGTCCTTGGGCTTCAAAGGGGGGGGGGGGGGGGGGGTAAGGCTATATTGACCGCTTATACTCGACTCCTTTTTAGCGATTGAACACATGCTTTGGTCAGTCGTGATAAATCTAATATTGACTTCGTACTTGGTCAGTATAGGAATTAAAAGACCTCGTACTCAGTCAATACTAGATACATAGTGATGGTGAGGCTTTTTTCCTCAGCTGACCTAAGGTCTCGGCGTCATGGCGACATAAAATGCTCAAAAAACGAACGAAGATGTTGTGACTTTGGTGGCAGAGTGATTGGTAAAAAAAGTGTCTGCTCCAAGTAACTGGTGGTGTCAGTGGACATTAGCGTATCTTGTAGCTCTTTGGTCCTTTTCTTTCAGTGCTATAAATTTATCCTTGGCTCTCCATCTGAGTTCATCTTTGCATACCTGATGAGCCGTCCTTTTTTATGCTGCGAAAACGATTGTCGTGTGAAACTGCTGCTTGTTAAGGTTGGTTCACATCAGCCAAATCGGCGCCGGGAAGCACTGGCGGTGATCCAGCTCACGGTTTGTCCTGTATACGGTTCGAGTACTGCTGTAGTACCAAATTCATTACAAAGTAGTGCAGAATCAGATCATGAAACTACTTCTACACTATTCATTGCAGTCTAGTAAGCGGTGGTGTCGAAGTTCTGCATTCAAACATTGATGAAGTCACAAGAGCTTGCGAATGCATCCTTCATATTTCTATTTCTTTCAATTGTATTTTGTCTCATAAGCTGCACCACAGTCAAGCCGATCATCCGGGAAGGACGGGTTGGTATGCTGACTTTATTTGCCACATTGATGCGACTACAAGAATGGCTAATGTATCTCAACCTTAGCTTCCATTTAGGAAAATTTAGGACTAATCTTGGTTTGAAAATTTGACAAACGGTTCACAAACCACTTTTGGTCAAAATTGTACGGGATCGGTGGCGGATAGGCACCGGCGGATTATGCCGGCATAATTATTGGCATAATTGGGTGGTTGAAAATTTTGAGCATAATCTGGCATCCTTTCGGAGGTAGGAGCATAACCACATGATTGACTGCCGGAGCAGATTGGGATTGCAAGAGTTGAGCCTGCCCAACTTTGCCGCTGGACCCTTGCGACTAGTTACAGTATGATTTTGTTACGATTGCACTGATTCACATCATTGCAATGCACTGGGAGAGGTTGCAAGAGGCTCACCGCCGGTTGCTCCCGGCGTATACCGGCAATATATGAACCAACCCCAACTGCTGCTCATTGTGCATCCAAATTGTCATAGTTGAAGTACAGTACAGTTTTTCTGAGAGGTTCAGTTTTGCATGATTCGAGTTCTCTTAGCTTCTTATTCAATTGATCTTCGAATCTTTAGCGCCACACAAGTTGCATGGTATGTTGTCTTACCTTGTCCTTCACAGAGAGCGTATCGGGTTGGAGTTCTAGTAGATACTTGACGACTTCCACATGTCCTTTCGATGCAGCGAGATGAACAGGAAGGGCACCGTCCTGTGCGCAGGTAACACACATGACCAGACATTCCTATGCAGTATCCATCAGATAATATCTATATTGAGTGTACATGTAATGCACAACTCACTATGAAGTGAGTTGTTCTTATCTACACACAGTACTCTTAACTTAACCAAAGTTGCAACGAATATTGATCGAATACCTTCGATTTTTTTCGCTGCACCGAATACTCAAACATGTGAGTCAGAATTCGAATATTCAAAATGCTGAACTTCATGTACAACTTTCAGTACAAAGGCTCAATCTGCTCATCGCAGCGCGCTCGCTGTGTTGTTGCATCATAGAATGTGCAACAGTCACTGCAACTGGGCAACATAAGACATAGTCAACGTAATGTCCTTTGAAGCTGATTCTGACCAGTTCCACTTACTCGCCGTTTCTAGCTTGCACCCGCGCGAGAAATCCCTACGTTTTTCTTTGTAGTTTGCGGCAGTTTTATGCCTCATTTCTTGTTGGATGAGAGCAACGAAGTAAACAAGAAAATGCTGTTCTTTTCGAAACGCGAGTGCACAGTCCAGAGTTCACGGACTGTGCTGGGAGTGCAGTACACACTGGCTGCACAGTGCGGAGTTGCAGCATGCACATGAAGGTGCATGCTGGTCTGAAGACAGTGTTCTTTTTGTTATTGCACTCTGCTGTACAGTTGCAAATTTTCGCTGCATGGCCGCGTGCTTTTCTCTTCGTTTCTTTAGTGTAATCTGTCTGATCATGCCTGGACGTGGACGATCCTCCACCCCAAGAGGCCGGAGCAGGTCCTCCAGGGGAGGTAGTTTGCCTGCCTCAACTCTTGAACTTTGTACAACTTTGCTATAGAAAAGGTCAAAATCGTACACCAAATCGCTTGTCGCATCGCAAAAGTTGAGCCGAGCTCAACTTCTGCGATGGCCCAGTTGCCGCAGTGGCGCGGGCTGCGAGATGGCTGCGATATGGGGATTTCCTGGTTTCGCAGCCGTAGCATCGTACATCGCATCCCAAAAATGCTTCTGTGAATCCCGCTTTAAGATCAATTAGATGGATAACCGATATAATCGTTTTAGCCCTAATATATACATGTACTTGCTGATACTGACGCTGACGGAACACGAATTTGAGTTGAATACTCACGAAGTCTTGTTCAATTACAAGTACAATTTGTTCCCAAAATAACTACTTCGGGACAGTCTGTTCATGGTTTTCATTTGTATTGGACTCGTTCTCTACACTTGCGATAATTTAGCGGCAATTCTAACGTTGTAGCGTTGTTCTCTTGTAATTTAGTGGAACCTGTATTGAGTAACTGAGTTTTATGTTTCGTTACATTGTCGTCAGATCTCCTGTGTACCGTTTTTGTGGCACAATGATTATAGCCATTATATTTGGTCGTCTCCATTCTTGTGCAATCATGCATATGTAGGTTGGTTCTCTTCATGTTATTGTGACCAATTTCATAGATGTTGGTTGCCTTGTTGCTTTCTCTCCCCTCTCCTCTCACCCAAGCCATTCTGCATAAGCGAAGTTGTGGACGCAGCATACTGCTGCTACACTTCAACGCGGGAATGCGTATAATAATACTATAATAATATACATGTACACACAAACATGCACATACACCCCTCCCCCTGCAACACACACACGTGTACACTCATACACATCGTGTACCATGTATATGCCCGTCACAAGAGAAGCACGCTAATCTGCGAAATGTACTGGATGTGCACCCACAGATTTTCACTTATAAGTTATAGCAACAGATAGTGGACACGATCTGAATGATACTACTTGGTCCGCCAAGTTAAAATTGGCGCTTATCTTCCCACTTGATTTTTCAGTGTTCTGCCTGTGTCATACGGCATAGAACCACCGATTCACCATCCAAACATAACCATTGATCATTGCATCCGACGACATGGCAGCACAAACCACCACAGAAGTTGCGATCGGTTCGTTTGAGTCTTTTTGACAGAGATGCCACCGACGAACACTTCCGTCAGCGAAGGAAACAACGCAGTCTCCGCTCGAGTTCGTAAAATAGGTCGGCATGTTCGCATTTCAGAGCGATGGAGAATGCAGTTTCTGTCTATTTCGAGCTGTCTAGTGGCAAGGATTGTTTATTGCGGGGAGGCATAGAGAAACTGAAAAAGCGCTTCGCGAGCTTGAATTTCAGTGCTGGCACAGTACAGCGCCTAGTGAAGATTTATCACCAGCAAATCGCCGACGAAGAAATTGCACCTCATGTCGACATCTCCAGAAAGGGAGACCAATCCAGCGGACACACTCTCAAGCTCACAGTGGACCGGGCAAAGGAGCTAATCAAAATAAACACCAAGTCCTGAGTGAAACTCTCGTGCAAAAGACTTTCAGGAAACTAGCCGAAAAGCATGGTGCAAGGCGTTAGGACTTAGGTGCAGTACAGGTGCTACATCAAGCGGAAGCTATTACTGGGCTGCATGTACAAGCACCAGCGGCTCTCGTGGGTGCTGATTAGGAAGTACGACAAGCGCAAGAGACGATTTGAAAAAAGGACACTGTTATGGCGTTGCCTTTTTGTCTCAAACAAAGAAGCCGCATTATTGCGACGAACGGGGATACCACTTACAGCCAACACGCGGGCAGTCTCATTCAGCTTCAGAGCGGCGAGGTGACAGTCACGCACTGGCTGTGAGCGTGATTCGAGACGAGGAGAAGTGGAACAAGCTGTGGTGCAGCAGCTGTCCGGATCTAATGTTTTGAGCTCTTCCTCCAGGGATGATAGTGGCGAGGAGGACGTATAACTTGCTTGAATTTTCGGCTGAGTTGCTTACTGACATGTAACTAATCATGTGCATAGTGCTTTGTGATCGTGGCATGCTTCAAATATATTCGTATTTCCTTCCTGAGACAAGTGTGAAGATAAGCGCCAATTGTAACTGGGCGGCCCAAGTGTTACGTGATCAGTCTTATCAGTCTATAACCAACAAAGCCACAATGCTACAGCCGTGTGAATGGCACAATAGCAGGAAGTAGTAAGAACAGTCTCAGGACAGAGCATTGGCAAAAACAGTTGCCAGAAGCGTAGAGAACAGACTGACTAGCGAAAGCCTGAAATGCCAGCAAAGAGCCAAAACCCAATCCAAGCATGACGTCACCTGCGCATGCGTGGGGCACACATATAACACATGTGTACGTGAACGCAGTACACGTGACATCTCCCTTTCTTTGAAATAAGAGAGTGTCCGAGCAAATCAAATACATGTGTATGGCGGCATTATAAGAGTCAAATGAAATAGCTCAACATGATGAGCTGGCTTGAGCGTATGTAATGCAGCACGCACATACATAATGAAACGACTCTTAAACAGGCACTACTGATCAATCAGAAGTCCATGATGAGACTCTTAGGGATCCGGACCACTCTTCCAGATCGCATTGTCTGGATGTCAGTGCGGGCGCCTTGTGACTCTGACGACCGTTGCACCAACACCGGGATCTTGGATGGTGTGCGTTGCACCAACGCCGGGATCTTGGATGGCGTGGTTTTGGGAACAGGCGTTGACGGTCCAGGTAGCTTCGGGCTCGGCGGTGTGGATGATGCCCGGTCTGGTCCGTCAGCTGCAGTCGGCGGTGCGGGTCGGATAAACTGTCGATTCCGCTGCAGGACTCTTCCGTTGCAGGAGACTTCATAACTGCGGCTAGACGTCTTGCCGGCGATTACTGCAGGCTGCCATTCTCTCGACTTGCCGTCAATCGGTTGAATGAAAACCTTTGTGCCAGACATGAGTGGCGGAGGTCTTTCCTTCGGTGGTCGAGGTGCTCAGCTGCCTTTTGTCTTCTGGTCTCCTTCTTCTGAATGTCGGCTGACCTATCTGCAGCGGGCTTGAGGCGATCATTCAGGGTTGGCAGCACAGTTCTGGTTCGGCCACCAAATAGTCGTTGCACGGGACTGGTGCTGAGACCTTCAGTGGGTGTGTTGCGCACATTCAGTAACCCGAGGTATGGATCGGACTTCTCTTCATTGCACTTCTTCATGAACTTCTTCGCATCCTTGACGGCGGCCTCAGTAGCACCATTAGATCTGCTGTTGCCTGGGCTGCTGTGCTCATGCGAGAATTCCCACTTCGCGGCGAAGGCGCTAAATTCCCGGCATGAGAACTGGGGACCATTGTCGGAGACGACTACATCAGGGATCCCATGCCTGGCGAAGTGATACTTGATCTTGCTGATGCAAGTGCTGACCAGAGTGTCAGGAAGGAAATCAACCTCGTAGAAGTTGCTCAGGTAGTCAACTGTAACTAAGTAGTTTCTTGACTTGATGGTAAAGATGTCGATTCCTACTTTCTGCCACGGGCGATCTGGCACTGGGTGTAGGAAGAGTGTCTCGGGCTGCTGCTTGCTGGTATGACGAGCACAGGTGTCACAGTTTACGACGAACTGACGAATCTCACTCACCATTCCAGGCCAATAAACAAGGTCACGGGCTCGCCGTATGCATGATTTTACTCCTATGTGACCGGCGTGTGCTTTGGTTTTCACGGCATTGCGCATGGAAAGTGGAATGACGATGCGCTCGCCACGGAGCAGAAGGCCGTCTTGTGCTGTGATTTCATCACAGCACTTGATAGGACTCAGCGTCCTATCAAGCACTGGAGATGGCAATTAATACCCGGGACATCAAGCGCCCACGTGGCCGACCCCATCTCAGATGGATTGACAATATTAAAAATGATCTAAAGCGCGCCAAGATTGATATTTCTGACTGTTTTGAACTGGCTCTAGACAAGGAAAAATGGCTGATGCTTGTGGAAAAATGTGCTTCGCTTGCGTAGTTGTTCTTACTGCGATACGTTCTAACAATAATGAGATGCCTTTTGTCGGCTCTTCTGCCTGGATTTCGTTGACAGATGCGTTAAGCCCATGGATCCTTCCATGAGTGACATGCGAACTGTAACTAATATTATGATACAACCCTGACTGAACCGATTGGCAGTCTTTTTCTCCAGTGTACTGGTTGGTGGGTCATT